ACCTGGGAGGCAGAGGTTGCAGTGAGCCGAGATCGTGCCACTGCACTCCAGCCTGGGCGACACAGCAAGACTCCGTCTCAAAAAAAAAAAAAAGAACTAGGCTGAACATAGAAAATCAGTGTTAAAATATACAAACCAACAGCACCTTAATAGTCAAAGCCCTTTTCATGCAAGGGTGAGAAAATTTCAAGAAGTGGCCCAACAGGAACCACATAAATAACAGAAAATCCTCTAGAAATCAACATATTAGTATAAAAACTTAGCAAAGGTTGCAGGGTTCTGTTACTTGCATTAAAATTACATGTTTGCCAATAAATATTATCCCATTCCAACTGTATAATTTACCTTTATAAACACTTTCTTATAAAACTTCAAAGCATTTCATAAATGTGATCTCATTTATCTCTTAGTTAATGAAAAACAACTATGAGACGTCTTCCCTTACTAGAAATTCCCTAAGAATACAGCACTAAAATAAATGGTGCAGAGTAACTTAGTTACTAACAGGATCTCAACTCATAAATACAACTTCTAGTTTAACTCATTGCTAAAGACAAATAAAACAACACCAAACTGTTTTGGACTATAGGAAGAAAATTAAAATGAGAACAAGTGAAATTTTATTTTTGGTTTTCATCACCATCAGTATACACATTTTAGCATATCCACATCCTCAATGATCTCCTGGGTGGTGAACAAAGTTAGTTAAACCACTAAGCTCCCCTTAATTTCCTGCAATGCTGTAAAGGTACATATACACATACTGATGTTAAAAAATTAGAGATAATTACATTTTATCAATTACCTCTTGTAAGGCATTCCACAGTTCCTCATCCGTGTGCTCATTGAAGGGATCCAGGTTTTTCCTCATTGTTCCAGTGAACAAAACAGGTTCCTAAGTGCTCAAAACAGTCAAGGTCATTACCACAGACTCTTTTCATTTTATTCCAATGCTAACATCAACAATAGAATTAAGATACCAAAAAATAAAATTCATGATAATCATTAATTACAGCATTACAAATGCCTGTTTACAAAAAAAAGTCTATTAATTTTCCACTGTACAAAGCATGCTCGAAAATACCTTCCAGACCACTGAACACTAACAAAACTGTTGCAACGTGCTATCTTAGAAGAAAACGAAAAAGACAGGCCTGATGTTTAAAACTGCTTTCCTGGTAATATTAGCTTAACACAAAATATAAGGATATAATTATTTGAAGGTCTACATCAAGAGAGCTGTAGAAATTAACATCAATTGTGTAATACTGGAAAATACCAACAGCATGATTAGAGTTTGTGCTTCAAAGCCAAATTATTAAGTATTTTCTAATTTGCACTAAAGAATAAATTAGGATATTTTCTCCATTGGCAAAACAGTTTTCCAGGATTAAGAATCTCTCGCTGGGCACAGTGGTTCACGCGTGTAATCTTAGTATTTTGGGAGGTCGCGGCTGGTGAATCACCTGAGGTCAGGAGTTCGAGACCAGCCCAACCAACATGGTGAAACCCTGTCCCTACTAAAAATACAAAAATTAGCCACGCGTGGTGGCACATGCCTGTAGTCCCAGCTACTTGGGAGGCTGAGGCAGGAGAATCGCTTGAACCTGGGAGGTGGAGGGTGCAGTGAGCCAAGATCGTGCCATTGTACTCCAGCTGGGCAACAAGAGCAAAACTCCATCTCAAAAAAATAAATAAATAAAAATAAACCTCTCCAATGTCAGAATGGGACATCTTTTTTTTTGTTTGTTTGTTTGGTCAAAGGAGATCTAAACGATCGGGGCCAGAGGCACCTCTATTTATGAAGGGATTGCCTCTGATTTTGCATCACTGAATCCCCACATTATCTCATCTGTGCATCACGGTTACCTGGGTCACAGAACCTCCTTATCAACTACAAGAGCAGGGTAACCTGAAAACCATTGTGAAGGAGGTCGCAATAAAATTACATCAATTTAAATAGCTGTTCCTATTCATCTACTTCAGGAGGAGCCCACAATTAAATCACTCTTGGAATATCGGTCTCTTCCTAGATTTTAAGAGAGACTCTTGAACATAAGCTTAGGTAGGCTGTGTGAAAGTTTTCTTCTGGCAGCTGGGTGGGGTGGCAGGCACCTGTAGTTCCAGCTACTTGGGAGGCTGAGGCAGGAGAATCACTTGGACCTGGGAGGCAGAGGTTGCAGTGAGCCGAGATCGCGTCACTGCACTCCAGCCTGGGCCACAGAGCAAATCTCCATCTTAAGAAAAAAAAAAAAGTTTTCCTCTGGAAGGTTCTAATAAGCTAGGCCATAAGGATATAGGAGCCCCATCAGCTGCTTTCAAGGATGGGGGCAGAACAAGCGGATGCACAGATGTGGAAACAACAGAAGGTGAGACTCTTCCACAGGTACTGGAGAAATGCTCAAGGGAACCACTGGCCTCAAATCTCACCTGGCTTTGGGGCAGGACTGTTCCTCCTCACTTCCCAAAAGCCTGAGAAGAGAGATGAAGGAGGTAGACTTCTTTTTTCACCAGCCGTGAAGAAAAATGATACCCAGGGAGGCTCTCATCCCTTTCCCTACAGTCTCCGTTTTAAGGCTGGTGAGGAAGAAATGGATGTAGAAGGCAGACAGAGTGCCACCAAAAACATAAGTCCTCAGCAAAATGCAAAAATGGAAATGATGGTAAAATGGGCACTTTGTCTGTGTACAAAGCTGATAAAGTGGCCAATATCCTTCCAAAAGCACTGAAAAGTCACTGGTCACATGATGCTTCCAAATTACCAGATGGAACTGAAAAATTCCAAGAGTCATATGTAAGGCCTGTCTTAAAAGTACCCAACTGAAGACCAAAACCTGAACCTCCATCTACACAAGGGTGAGAATTTCTCGTGAGGGGAATAACCATCATTCTGGTTATTTCAGATTAAAAGATAAAAACTTGACTTACTCTCTGTAATGATCAACTCTAAGATTCCAACTAACTAGGTAATTTCTCCTCCTTTCGTTGTTTAAATGAGGTATTCAGAAACAATGTGGCCAGGAGAGGTGTGGCTGCAACTCCTTCCTCTCTCTCTCTTTGATGCTCCTCCTTTTCCTGACAAGGCCCTAAACTGAGGGCATGATTCCGTCAGCGGCCAAAACCCAGAGACTCTTTGAGGACAC